GCTTTGCATGTCTCCGCTCTGCTCCTGATAATAGTTAGTCTTCATACAATATATTCTAGATTTCAGTATGCAATATTCCAAATCGCCAGGATTCCCTCTCTTATCTTTCTCCTTCTCATCGTAGTCTAAAATAAGGGTTCGCACCTAGTAGTCTTAATCTGTAGTCACTTATTAATAGTCAATAGTTCATTTATTGTAGTTCTTCATTTGCAGTAGAATTCATCCTTAATGTTCCACCGTATACTCATTTTTGTAGATCTCTTTTCTCTCGTAGTCCAAGTTAGTTACTTGCACTTGCACTCATACCGTTGGCTTGTATATATCAGCAATATATTATATATTATAATATTCTAACACATATTCACAGCTTGTATTCTTGCCTTTAGTTCACCCTTAGTAGTATATTGCATTTTCTATTTGAAGTATATTGACATATGGTCTACCAGTTTTGCTTCGCCCGCTATCGCGCGCATCACACGGCAGGCTTTAGCGAAATTGGAGGACCCATGGAATATCAGCATGAGATACTCCATTAACCATCTCACTATTGACTGTGTTAGACCCTCCACAGTTTCACTGAAGCTCATCGAGAATACGCGTGATAACGTCTGAGCTGAACTGGTATATTGATCACAACAGTAAACATCCAACATTTTTCTTGAATTAAGATAATTTAGCGGCGAATAGGATTGTCAGTCTCAAAATCAAACGAAATATGTGAGAATACGGCAGGACGGCAGGTCACACGGTACGGCACCGCCTTGCTGGAAAGATCACTTTTCACGCGGGGTGGTCTTGATCGGGCGGGACGTACCGTATAAAAGGCCGACCCCCAGTACTAACTTCGTTCTTCTACATTCGTCTTCTACTTCGTCTCTTTGACTCCAGCTGCACCCCCTCGACTTCCTAGAGTTCCCTTGGACTTCTAGCCCTGCCCCTTTTTTCGTTATACGATTTCGTGTGTTGTTTAATAATTACTATCGTTCGTGGCTTGTCACCTGGCAAGACTCTGGGAGAAATCAGGAAACAATAACCACTTAGCGCATTCAGAACGCGATATAGCCGTCCAGGATGCGTTCAATAACCGACATGGGGGCCAAGCAGCCCAGAGCAGACACGGATGACGAGGACATGGATGACACCGATGGAGAGCAGGTTGGAATCTCTTCCGTTATCAGAGATCAAATAGAAACGCCGCTCCTAGGTGAGGTGACCGTGATCACAAGAGCTTGCAACGAAGCTCTAAGTCACCACTTTAAAAGGCTGTCGGAGGCCAAAAGAGCAGCCATTTTGAGCGCTGTGGAAGCAGCCGCGCAAGCTGCAACGGAGGAATCCCTTAGCGGAGTAAGGGACCTCAGGGAGTTTTCGATCGAAATCGGATTGTCCGCCTCTCAAATGCGATCAGTCTTGACTGAGGCAGAGGGCAACTTGAGCTTGATCGAAAGCTTATGCAGTGAAATAAAGTGTGGTAAAGCACATTTATTGGATGCAGTGGTAAAACTAAAGGAAGAAAGAGATCAATTGATTTCTAGACTGAGGTCATTGCAGGAGCGGTTCGAAAGCAGCATGGCGAAGGGAAGAGATGAGCAAGCCAGCGATGATAAGCAAGGTGAGGCTTATTCGTGGCGAAGGCTTGGTGAAAGGTTGCTGGCATCTATCAATCGTAAAGATGATGGACTTTACAGAGCAGCAACGATCTACGTCAGGAGTGGCCGGTGAGGAACGGTGGGCCACAAAGGCAGCAGAGGCAGGACTCTCAAGGAGAATCAGACGATGGTGCGACAGGATCTTCACAATGCGAGATGATGAGTGAGTCGCAGTTCTCTTTGAGTAGGAGAAAAGACCCGTCGGCCTAATCTGAATCCTTCGTCCGAGATGTGGGAGGTCGTCAAAGTAATGTTGAAAGCCCAGGCGGCTGTGAATGTCGATAAATATACAGGGAAAAATTCTCTGAGTGACTTCCTGAGGACCTTTGACATCAAATACCCACGGGAATCCTGGAGTAACCGGGAGCGGCGCGACATATTGGTGACACTACTGGATGGTCCGGCAAAGCTAATGTATAGCAATTTACCCAAAGGGGTACAGAGAAGGAGCATTCGAGGATGTAGTAGAGGCGCTAGAAAAGTCCAGGCGGGACCCATGCAGGAAGCTCAAGAAGGTAGAAGAGTGGGATAAGCTCCGTAAAAGGGACAACTGAAACGGTAGAAGAATTTTGCTATAAAATGGAAGGATTTCAAGGGAGATCCACAGTGACAGTGACCGAGATTTTCTTTTGGGCTCCAAACTGCAGGCTTGCCTATCCGAGTGGGAAGAATCCTACCACCTGTTAGCTGCCCTGGAAGCACCGTATGGTTTAGTATACCAATCAGTGCGTAAGGCTGCATTACGGCTTGAGCGAGCACGCGAGGCGATGAGAAAAAGAGCGCAGTTACAAGGAACCCAAGCGAAGGATCGCACTAGGTATAAAGCTCATGATAAATATGAGAGCGAGGAAAATGAAAATAAATCAAGCGGGAAAAACGGCCCAATTAAGAAAACAAAATGCTTTAAATGCGGCGGCATGGGGCATTACGCAAGGAATTGTCCGAGGCATAATGTTCAGGAGCAACCCCCGCATACGGACGATAGGCAAAAGCGGAAATTAAACGAAAGGAAAATTTCGGGATCGTTTTCCGCTCATTTAGAAAAGTGGTGTAGCGCAGTGACTAGCCAAGATAGGAAGACGGTAGTAACTGAAGCATATGGGAAACCCCTTCCTCTGCAAGGTACACATGCTAGGCATGGTGGTCGATGCTATGATTGATACGGGATCAGTGGTATCAATTGTCCCCCTTCGGCCTACTATTGAAGGCAAAGGAGAAGAAGATCGATCTGGACAGCCTGGTAACCATCATGGGGGATGGTAACTATCAGAGAGTAGTGGATGCCGTCAGGGAATGCCATGAGCTTTTTGATGCTCATAGCAACAGAAGTGAATGTGCAGGGAGCAGGGCAAGCCCGTGTGCAGTTACATATCCAAAGAAGCAAGGATAACGTAGTACTGCTAGGGACAAATGCACTCCAAGCACTGAATATCCGCATACAGTTGGGTGAGCCCATAGCAGAACTGAGAACAGAGGACGGAAATGGCGAATGTGGTGGTACGGTGCGAGCAATTCATAGGCATGTCATCCCTGCAGGAGGGATTTCTACAGTACCAATCTCAGGTCTCAAGTCAGGATTGGATGAGTGCATCTTTTGGTCCACCAATGATCGCATTTCTTCCGGGGTGTTAAAAGCGACACAAGGAGAGGCCCTAGTATCAGTTAGGAACAGTTCTCAAGAGCCTTGGGTTATTCGCAAGGGTGAAACTCTGGGGAAATGGGACAAAGGAAGCGTGGTACGATCCTAGGACACGGGAACTGCCTGGAGACATGCTGGAACTGTCCCACAAACTTCCAGAAATAGGGAGAAAATAGAGTCGAAGACCTAGTTATCTTACTCAATAACAATCGGAAAGCAGGTCAACTACCTGAATGAAATGGTGACGCTTATATCTGAGTATGAGGATGTGTTCGCAATCTCAGATTTAGAGCTCACACAGACCGATTTGTTGCATCACAGCATTGATGTGGGAGATAGTTTGCCCATCAAGCAACGCACCCGACCTGTGCCCTATGCTCTTCGTAGCCAGGTGTGTGACATGTTGGTCGACCTCAAGAAACGGGGCATCATTGAGGATAGCTCCTCCCCGTGGGCCTCACCAATAGTCCTGGTGGCTAAAAAGGATGGATCAATTCGGTTGTGCGTTGACTACAGGGAAGTCAACAAAGTGATCAAGAAAGATAGTTATCCCTTACCGCCAATAGATATGACCCTTCAGAATCTTCGTGGAAAGCGGTACTTTACCTCCCTGGATTTAGCTAGTGGGTACTGGCAAATACCCCTAACTGAGGAGGCCAAAGAAATCAGCGCATTTACCACTACGGCAGGACTTTTTCAGTTCAGAGTACTCCCATTTGGGCTTTCCACGGCGCCAGCGGTATTCCAAAGATTAATGGAGAAGGTCTTAGGACCGCTTATGGGAGCAGAAGTCTCCGTATACATTGACGATATGCTTGTAGCAACAGAGACAATGGAGCGTCATGTCGAGGTTTTGAAACAGGTTTTCCAAGCACTACGCAAGGCGCATTTGAAACTCAAGCCACAAAAATGCCGTATCTTGGAAAGTTCCGTAGAATTCCTGGGGCATGTAGTGGATAAGGATGGCCTTCGAACGATCCCGGCAAGGTAGAGAAAATCCGAGACTATCCGCAGCCTACAAATCTAGCACAATTGAGGACTTTTCTAGGAATGACAGGCTATTACCGCAAATTTATCTTCCGATATGCGCAAATAGCACAGCCTCTGTATGACCTCACGAGTACGAAAACCCCATTTCTGTGGACAGGAGCACATCAGCAAGCGTTTGCTACCTTGAAGGATCTCCTGACGAGAACACCGGTGCTGGGGCAACCTGACATAGAGGCGGCGCGCAACCGAACGCGTCCTTTCTACATATATACGGATGCCAGTCGTAGTGGACTTGGCGCGGTTTTGGCTCAGGAGGGAGACGACAAATTAATCCATCCCTTGCATTTTGCATCCAGAGGCTTATCCCGAGCTGAAAAGAACTACCACATCACAGATCAGGAAGCGCTTGGCGTGATGTTTGCAGTAAAAAAGTTTCACTATTTTATTTACGGAGTGCATACTATCGTAAGAACAGATCATAGCGCCTTGACTTCGCTATTCAAGCGTGCTAACGTCTCTCCAAGGGTATTGAGGTGGGCCCTAGAGCTCCAAAGATACGATCTGCAAATTGAGTATGTAAAAGGCGCTGCAAATAATGTGGCAGACGCTCTTTCGAGAGGGACGGTATCAGAACAAGATGTGGGAATGGCTAAGTGTGCTGACGAAAAGGTAGTGGCACTCGTTAGAGATTCCGACTGGCTTCAGGAACTAAGAAATGACGAAGATTTTAAGTCGATAATTGAATCAATAGAAGCGCGCAAAGAAGGTGACGTCTCATTCATGCATAATGGTAAAAAGTTCACTACGGCTGATTTCGAAGTAAGCGATGGAAGATTACGCCTTATTCGAGAGGATGGCTCCAGGGTCAACGTCATACCCCAAAGCAAAAATAAAGATGCAAAAGAAGACGAACTGTTCAAAGAAGCACATCATGGAATTATGGGTGGGCATTTCAATGCTAGGAAAATGTCATCTAAGCTTGAAAAAGTAGCGTATTGGCCAGGGATGAGACGGGACATTGCAAAATGGTCTCGAGAATGCCAAAAGTGTTTCGTGCATAACACGCATAAGGTCAATACTCCTCCGCTAAAGCCAGTTGTAGTTTCCCAGGCCGTTCGAAATAGTTGGTATTGACTTGCTCGAGATGGGCTTATCGAGTCGCGGGAACAGATACATAGTCACGATCATAGACCACTTCACAAAATTCCTCGGGGCCTTACCCAGTGCCAAACAAAAGAGCAGAAACAGTGGCAGAAGTTCTTTTCAGTCAGTGGATTGCGGCGGCAAGGAGGCCAGAAATGGTTGCTTTTCAGATCGTGGAGCCGAGATTCGAAGAATGTTTGTCGTTGACCGTTGCATTGTACTGCAGGATTATGGGCGATTATGCAACATGTACGTTTTGGATAAGTGGTTTGTTTAGTGGCCGGCGCGGCGAGAGGAGATCATATGCGACGGAATGGAATATGTGTGAACGGAACTATTTATTCGAGAGAATTGCATGAAGTAAGAGAGGATCTGTTGAGTGGTGCCGATCTGAGTGGATTGTCTGATCTGCGTGGTCATCTGTTCTCTTACTAGCCGTGCTTGAATTTATTTATGTTTCGTGAAGGTCATCTTTCCGTTCGGCTTTTGTTTGTTGTTCTTTGCGAGGCCGTGATTGTTCCTGCATTGTTTTCGCTGTTTTTCGATGACTGGGTGATCGGGTTGGCCCTGGCTTGGCGGCTGGTTGTGGGGCCCCGGTGGCGGTGCCGTCGCTGATGCCTTGACAGTGATCGTACTCTGTCGGAATGATGTTCCGGCCATACCTTTTCTTCTGCTATGGACTAGGAATCCCATAAGTACCCACTCAGAAGTTCATACTAGAAGAGCATGCCATTCATGTCTCCTATTCTGTCAGCGGTGAGATCTATCGCTCCACGCTGAGTCTTAGCGAGAAACTTGAGTTTCTGTGGGTTCTCAGGTGTGTATTATGTCTTCCGCGTGAATTGCCGATTGTATCTCTCAAAATCAGTCTAGAGGAGGTAGTATCGGGAGGAAAAGATTGATTACGGATGGTCACAGATATAGCTACAAGAGCGTTCAGAACTCATAAGGCAGTAGTTATCAAAGAAGGTGATCGTGTGTCTACGTGAAGATCCCATTTGAGAAGGGAAAGGTATCCCACCCAAAATTAACCACTGATTGGTCGGGTCCGTATAGAGTAATAGAGAGTAGCGCAAACTCAGCTCTAGTGACTTTGATAGGCCAAAACAAGGAACCAATAAGAGTACAGTGGGATCATTTGATATAAAATTACCACCCATGATTGACGATACTCCCCTTGGAACGAAAGGATTCCGCGGCCCGACGTGGTCGAAGAAGCAAGTTGACGTCAAATCAGTGCAATATGATTCGCAATCATTTTAATTTCAGAGAGTCTGCATTATCACTAAAATATACGAGGCTGCAACCACGATCACTAAAATGCTCCACGTCGATTTCATTTGTCCAGGAGGACTTTCAATTGATGGACAACGGCTCCCTTGTTCCACGAATATGACGTGGCATGAGATCTCAGGAATGCGGAATTCCCCAATCGACGGTCTCATATTCGACTGTGTGTTCAAGCTCGCTCGCGTGGCCACAATCATGTCGCAGACACACACAACTTCGGAGATGCAAATGGCCCGTATATTGGACGCAGAGTACGACGCATTATCGCCAAGTGGACTCGGATTCGCCATTTCATTCTTCTCGGCGAAATGTCTGCACGTGATGCAGAGCATGCAGACGAGATACTCCACAGAACATCAGTTCTGCGTGACACATCCAAGTCGCACTCCTGGCGATCCATATGATTTGCCGAGTCTTTTCGACTATGCGTGTAATTGGGCTCGTGCACACCCATGGACTGAAACGCTGTGGAAAGAGCTACCTCCTAAAAAGACACTGGTACTGTTGCCATGCGACTTCAAGGAACACATATACTCTATTCAGTCGCACTGCCAGCTAGTGAGAGTATATGCTAAACCGGATGATGTGAAAGAAACATGGTGTCAGGACGAATTCTCCGCTGTAGTATTGTTCAGTCCCTCCAGAGCGTTCCCTAGTGCAGCATGGGCTCAGGCGTGGCAGCTCATGCTGGGTATGGTCTCAGACGGAGTAGAGCTTTTCATTTTGGGAACCCCACGAGACAAGGTGCAATGGCCGAAAGCGATCGACGGATTGAGGGACATATGTGAGGAAACAGTTGCCCAGCGCCCTAAACTGAGTGCACGAATCAAATGTCTACTGATGACAAAATCCGAAGAACATTCCACTCATCACCCCTGCAACGTCGTGGAGAACAACTCTGGATCACATCCGCACACATACTCGGCAAGTGAAGTGAAAAGGTTTTACGAAGCCACTCGCAACTTTTATATTGCTCATGTCAGGTTGACTCCATATTATAGCATACGGACCAAGGTTGGGAGTGGAACCAAGGATGGCCACCCTACACGGAAATGCGATGGATGTGAGGAGTCACATGTGAAACAACGGAGGTTACCACAATGGTCTTATAGAAGGAAAAATCGCTTCAGACAGGCTAATCATCTCTGCGTCAGCCATTCCTCCGTAGCTTACGGACAGAACTTCAAAAGTAATTTTCGACGCTACCACAACAGAGATTTCAACGGACAATGGAATCGATCATTGAGGAGGAACAATCCCAGAGGCTGAGTGGAGCAGCCTATGCAGCGGGGGGAGGCATGTGAGAGCGAGGCAGATCATACGGTACACCGCCGTCATCGGGAAAGATCACTTTTCTCGCGAGGTGGTCTTGATCGGGCGGGACGTACCGTATAAAAGGCCGACCCCCAGTACCAGCGTAGTTCTTCTACACTCGTCTACTACCCATCTCTTCAGCTCCAGCACCCCCTCCGCTTCCTAGAGCCCATTCGGGACTCTAGCCCTAACCCCTTTTGTTCTAGCTGTTAATTCGTTGCGTTGTTTTTGTTTAATAAATCGTTGACGTTCGTGGCTTGTCACCTGGCAAGACTCTGGGAGAAATCAGGAAACAATAACCACTTAGCGCATTCAGAACGCGATATAGCCGTCCAGAGATGCGTTCAATAACCGACAAAGTGTTTCGCCAATGCAAAACTCCGAATGTGGCGGATCCCGGAAAGAATCCGCCATTCACCAGATAAAAATCATTAAAGGCAAAGGTCGGGCTCAGACACGCTAGAGAAGTAATTCCCGTGCCTGGAGGTTGTATGTGGGTAGCTGCACACATTGCAGCAACTTCCCACCTTGAAAAACGTCGTTAAGCCCCCGGGGCCGTCGGTTTCAATCCGGGACCGCCCACCTCCGGAAGTGGTGCGTGGCTGGCATAACGTGTGAAATCAGCTAGGTTGATTGCCGTATCAACCGATAGAACGACTGACATCTCCAGAAAACTTGTTTGTACGTGCCTCTTCCCCAAGCCAGCCTCCTTCACTGCTAGTGGGAAAGAGGGTTTTGTTAACGGCCTTGTCGACGGTTTTTCTCAGTTTTTTCTCCACTGTCGTTCCACTTCGCATCTCTATACTCAGTTTCAATCGCCATAAACCCCCTTATTGAGCCCGACTTTGCCTTTAAACCATGGAACCGTAGATTACCCGTAAATTCAAGAGACTATGGTAAACCTGAAAGGCTTTTACCGAAGCTTTGCCTCACTGCTCAACGAATGCGTTTGCTGAGTCAAATCCTGTGAACACCACGATTTACGCCCCAGCCACAGTAGTTTTACGGCAGAATTTTAAGTGCTTGGTGTTAGAGTCAGGCGATGTGGAAAAATTGCTGTTTCATTTAGTCGCCGACTGCCGTCACTGGCATTCGCGCGAACGCGAACTGCGCGAATCGTAGGCAGACGAGATCGCGGACTGTTGTGCCCTGCACCAATACGTTGCGAGGTGCTCTGCAGATGGCGCCGCCATTTTCTGCTTGATGATGATGGTTGATAGACCGTTATTATAATTCTACTTGTGTTCGATAGTCCGCGTTTCACATGGTTCGAGTGGGGTACTGTGCCATTTCGGCGGTTCGCGTGAATCGGCGCGACGTGATCGCGGGGCTCTGGCCAGCCTAAGGCCGATGTCAGACTTTGCGAATCGCGCGATTCGCTACTAGCGATTCGCGCGAGCGTCCGCGGTCGCGTTGCGGTACCAGCCAATTGAGTGATTCACTGGCCGCGACGCGACCGCAGACGCTAGCGAATCGCGCGATTCGCAAAGTCTGACATCGGCCTAAAGTTTCCTTTGGTCCCCACAAATAAGAGCTAGCGCCTCCGTAACATCGAAACTCACGTACCGAAGTCGCACTTGCGGCGTGTTGAGCAGGTCCGATCGCAAGACGGGAGGAGAACAAAGTGATGGCAGATCCTCTTCGTTGAGTGGTTCTATCATGAAGCAGTACAAAACAAGCGAAAGGAAATCCGTGGAGAGTTGAGTGACCTAAAAAACCCGAAGTGGAATGCAGACGGCGTAAAAACAAGGGCTGCAAATGATTTTTGAAGAAAGTGCGACCTGATGAAAACCGAACCTGATCAGAATCGCACGAGAATAGCACAATGACTTGAGAAGGCTCCGCAAGAAGATCGCGTAGCGTTGATCGTATTCGAGTGTCTGTAAGGGTGCGATTGAACGATCAGTGGATGTACCCAGTACACAGCGTAAAACCACCGCAAGGAATGAATAAATCCAGACAAGTCTAGCTGCGAAGCGCATTGTAATGGACCTTCACATGAACGAAGCATGGGAACCAGCAAGTGGTGTCACGGGGAATCGGGTACCCGACAAGAGGCCCGTCGCGCGGCGAAAAAGCGGGGACGCAGACAGGAATACTGGACGGGTCGCAGCGCATGCTGATAGCGATCTAGCGTCAAGTTAAATAGAATGTTTTACAGTACGTCCTACGTCGCACGGGTTATACGCGCTGGGACTCGTCCGCTGGCCCGTTGAAGAATCGGATGGTCGAATCGACGCTTTGTGGGAATATGTACTGCTTTTGTGCACGTGTTCACTAGGACAAGTGCAAAATGCAAAAATGCACTTAATCACAGAAGAAAATATAGCTCTCAACATATTGAGTTGGCCAAGCCCTCTTGCAGTTTACTGCGTTACGGGAATTTTTTGTGTAAAGGACCAGTAGGTAACAGCACAGGAAAGCGCCGTAACAGCGCCTGAGAGCAATGATTCATTTGGGTTCTAGTGCGATCAGAAGAGGCGAGAAATTCTTAAGGCATCGGCAGAAAACAGGACACGCCAAGCTTTACTTCACGTCAATCAGTCATAAGCAGCATGATCTTGTACGTGGTAATAAGCAACACTTTCAGGCAAACATGACATTTCAGAATAAACAGAATAGAAAACTTGCCGAGTGTGCCGCTGGCAGGATCGTAGCCAAGAACATCGACAGATGTGAGATAGAGAATTGACGGTTGGTAGGACTTGGCTAAAAATACCATCTTAATATAGGAACAATTACGGTAGCGCATTTCAGCGAGTCTAGAAAAAAATTTAAAGACTCTGCTAAAGAATTTTCACGCAAGTTGTATCATATTTCGGCGATTGAACAAAAATTAGGGGTGGTTTGCATAGTTAGGATCGCCATAGATTTTGTTTTTGTTGAGGGGGTATACTTCTCTGCGGAATGGCCATCTTACTACAACTTTAGTCTTTCACACTACATGTTGTGCAAAGAACACAAGTTGGGAAGGTCAGCTTAGACTTGGAAAGGATGGAGGGTAAAAACCCAGGAAGTTAAGTGTACAGTAGAATTTTTGATATAGTTCAAACTCATTCCTATATCATAAAACCTTTGAGTACTGAAAAGCCTTGATAGGTAAGTAATTTTAAGCCTAATTGTGCAAAATTCTAATTACTAAGCTGGCGGGCTAAATGCCACACTGTAAAATTTTATGTAAAATGCCTCTTACTGAACACTTCTATGAACTATGCTAGGCACAGATATCATGAAGCCTGCCAATAATTATAGTCATGTTAAAAACATTCCAAATACGCGTATAAAATTCCAAGGTGGCATCCATCATTGGGAGTCATTGACCCAAACGACAAACAGGCCACCACAGGCAACGTCAGATATTGTGGGACCTACACTCAAAAAATCCATTTTTCGCGTACCTGCAACTTCTTTTCTAGGCGTTCCATAGTTATTTCATACAACGAATGGGTCAGAAAAAACATTTTGCCTAAGTCACACATCAGCTATTTTTTCGTAGCGATATTATCGTCACTGGACGAAGAAATTATACGAAGTTATACGAAACGTCCCTTATTAGTATTAGGTTGTCTCATAAATAGTGTCGCTTTTTTTCAACCAAAAAATTTTCATCTAAATCCTCATGCTTTTACATGTCATATACCATTCGAAAGAGAATTGTCTGCTCTACAAGATGTTATGTTCTTCTTCCACCTCTGTTCCAGGGTTTTCAAATTTTAGGCCTGCGAAATGGGAGGTCCAGCCGACAAAAATTGACCAAACCGACAAACTAGCTCTAACTTTATTTTCCCTGCGGAGAAATCAATCAATGATGTACCCTCTACTTACTCATGACCTCTTCTGAACATTCCACCCTTAGGTTGCCGAAAAAGCTTTGCCGTGTTTCTTTTCGAATTGGCTGACGATAAGCCATAGCAATTTTCAAATTAAAATTGTTCCTCGTAAACGTCATTGTTTCATATCGAAGTGGTGTTCCTTTTGTTAGCACTTCTTCTGCTCCATTCGCCCACTTGTTTTGTTTTAATGTCTGTTAGGAATTAGCTCGAATTTTAGGTGTTTAGGAGTAAGGTGCTTTATCCACGAAAGTGACCGCATTTCTTTGAAAAAATTATCCCTGAGAAGATGAGAAAATCAACCAGGCGTACATTCCTAACTTAGTCATGACTTGTTCTTTAAATTCTACCTAGTTTTTCAATGTCTCGGCTATAAAAAAATTTCGACCTAGATCTCAGGTAATGGTGCTCGACCGTCGAGTTCTGGTTGAAAAACCAGGTCTGGAAATGGAACGACGCGACTTGTTGGGAAACCTAATAGTGTAATGTTCAGAAGAGGTCATGCATAAGTAGAGGGTACATCATTGATTGATTTCTCCCAAGGGAAGATAAAGTTAGAGATAGTTGTCGGTTTGGTCAATTTTTGTCGGCTGGACCTCCCATTTCGCAGGCCTAAAATTTGAAAACCCTGGAACAAGTGGAAGAAGAACATATGGCATCTTGTAGAGCAGACAATTCTCTTTCGAATGGTATATGACTCGATGTAAAAGCTTAAGGATTTAGAAGAAAATTTTTGTTTGAAAAAAGCGACACTACTTATGAGACAACCTAATAAGTAGACGCAAGTTTTTCTCGCTGCTCCCACCGTCTTCAGAGTATGACATCATATGCCATAGTCATCGTAAGACTTTGAAAATGAAAATAATTTTTCGATTGAAGCAATCAAGTAGGGATGGTTTTGGTATCCCATGCAGCTCGAGTAATTAAATATGGTTTTTACCTTGTCTGTAACATCCTCGTAGTCGAGACTGCTCTATCGTAGTCTCATCACACCAGATTACTTCAATACATAAACGGTAACTGAGATCATTCTTGTGTCATTCATTTTTTGTGTATTTTCCGCTCAAAAGCCACGAGCACACCTGTGGTGAGATGGCCGCAATTCGCAAAACCGCGGCGGTCCCCACGCGGCCATGAATCCCAAACCGTCAACGCCTTAAAACAAAGTACTTTCTGCAGATTGCGGATATAAGTCCTTGATAAGTCAATCGCATTTTTCAAAAAATTAGCTTCTAAAGTGATCAAAGAGCTAATCATACAAAGGCACTGAAGATCGCCTTTTGCATAAGGTTTGTAAGAACGCCTTAGTAAATATAGAAACTGACATTTTGCCAGGGCAATTAGGAGTCAATATGTCATGTGAAGTGCTCTCATGCTTTTAAGAGCAGAAGCGAATAACTGATTCGCAGGCCGAACGATCAACTGCTTGTTTCTGAAACTGAATCGAGCCGCTCTACCAAAACAGGAACACGACGCTGACTCGTTGGCACGCACCATTTGCAGCGTCATGAAGTAAGTCGTTATGAGTTAGTTTAGGACCGCTTTTTCCACTCTTTGAGGCGAGACATATGTCCTTTTCCATCATGTGCTGACCTTTTTCAAAAGCGTTTCTGAGATTAGCCTCCATTTGATCGACGCTTTCTCTCCAAAGGTTATAGGAACACTCTTCAACGATGTTTCGATGCGTCTCCATAGCCAAACGTGTCGCGAGCAGGCGTTTGCCGCTTCCGCTGGCACCGCTCAGCAGCATTGTTAACGGCCTATCATCAACCTGAACATTTCCTTATCAGATCACCCATATGAGGCTTGAAGAAGAAACTGCCTTTAGGCCCCCAGCAAACGATAGACCATGAACATACTTACTGTTCGTACGGCAAGAACCAGATCTTCGCATTCGTCACCAAGCGCCATTCAACTGCAGGAATATCCAATAACTTCATACGAGCCGCATACGGCAAATGTGCGTTCACACTTGCGATCTCGTAAACGGATGTCGTCATATCCACGATGCATGGCGATTCATTACAGGAGACCTGCAATCACGGTCGCATTGGTAACAGCCAGAAATTCCATGTCAGGATTATCAAAACAAAGTACTCAAAGACATTTCCGCGATAAGGGTGAACCATTACCCTGCTGAGTTGAAGGCAAACCTGGGATTAAACTGGTGGCATCAGCGCTCTGTATTGATAGCTTAGCTGCGGAGCGAGACGAGTTACAGAATCTTACAATTTCCCTCGTGGTATCCCATCCTACTAGTCGGGCCAATCCCTGGGGTTCGCCATTAGTACTGGTTTGAAGTCACAGAGGTTGTGCTATAGCTGAAAGCTGCAAAAAAGGAATGGGAGTCTTTTACACGAGCAACTTCCCACTCAGTGAATAGTCTCAGTTCTTCTTGAAATAAGGTGTATCGCACAGAAATGCACCTTTACGTCGGCGCTCTCGATGAGCCACGCGGTGTGTGTCGACCTTTGAGAAGGAACAAAGCACCAGCTGCAAAGGGAAGGAGAGGGAGAGGTCGTTCAGGCGACCCCGAGCTTTTCAAATATTCATGCAAATTACAGGGACGCATGCATCGAAAACAAAACCATGTTTCATTTTCGCTGAACAGATTTTGCACTGCGAAAAAAAATAGCTCGACTTCCCATGGTGATGAAATTTGATAAATGTATTTCAGGTCAGCGGTCACTTAGGCAACGGGTTAATATAAAACGACGCCAAATGTCAAAAAAGATGCCATAATCATGATTAAAACATATTAACAACAGTGAGACAACTACCGAAACCGTTCAGCGAGAAGGGTGGATTCAAGGTTCATGGATGCGTCTCTGCAATTTGTGAAAAAAAAATTTCGAAAAAGAGCTGTTTGTTCTGAACGACTCCCCTGTAATCGCAGCACACGCGGTTTTCGCACATTTGGCAAGTTTTCGCCTTCACTCTGAAAAGTCGCGCTCATCTTTTTCTCCCCCAAGTAATGACTACCATTTTCTGTAAGAAGCTTGCAATTATGGCGGATTTTACTGTAAAAATGCTGTTCATTGGAAATAAGGGTAGTCGGCAGGGAAGAAAGACAGAAATTAAATAAAGACCAGCTCGGACCCTGAAAAGGGAGATCCCTTCATTGCTCATTGATTCCCGCGCTGATGTGACTCTCATCGGTGCTCGCCCTCTTTAAAATAACGCTTTCTCTGCTATCTAACCACTCGCCGGCAGAGACCTGTGGCGAGTGATTAGATAGTCGATGGGCACACCGCCCCGATAATCAAGCCGCAGGCAGGATGGCCGGGTCTTCGATGTAAATGCGTGTTAGATCCACAGCCCTTGGGGAGGGGCTTGGTCTCTCCACTAGGTGAGTTTCCCCTTCTTCGACCCTCAATCTTATCGTGGAACCTCTTTGATTATGAAGTAACAGAAAGCTACAGAACCTTGGCTGTGTAATTGAACCCACGGTGAAAATAGGTTATTTCACTTAAAACAAAACATCAACAAGAGAGGATGCTATTCCCAATTGCAAATAAAATTTATTTGCATTACTCCGCACCTTTCAGGGCGGTTGCACTGGCGCACAACTTCTTAGACCTCTTGTATTTTCATTGGGAACACGGTAGCCCGCACTCAACTGACGTGAGGTGCGAAGATGAGCTTTACAACTGTGCTTACCTTGAAGTAATGCCTAAGAAACCCCCCCCCCACCCTTCCTTTTTGTGGTCGTGAATATATTCCGATATGTATGGAAATCACGTCGTCCTTGTACATTATCCTGAAATTTTGGAAGTAGTGATGACACGTCAACATAGACTTCCTGAAAAATCGCATTTCTACCCCCTAGGCGGGCAGCTCACATTTAGGATCGAGATCCTTCTAGAGATGGCAATGGTGACGTTTTGGTTGCATAAATCACTGGCCCGCCACAATCACAAGCCTTGAGTTCAATTAGTGCTTAGCTTCAGCGGTTTTTCCGCCTCAGAAGCCATCTAAATTTAGTCGACTCGCTAGAAAGGACTGTTGTGAGCTGCAAATTGGTCAGTGCCGTAGTTCATTTCATAACAATGATAAGCGGTCAGCAGATTTTTTACTCACTTGAACATTTCAGCGGCATCGTGCAACGATAATTGTTACCAGCAGCATACTCAGTTTAAAATTCGAAAAAATAATATCTCATGGGAAAGGTTGCGCTCTACCTTTAAAAGCGTGCATAGCAGGTCGTGAAGTCTCCCACATGTATCAGTTTTGTCATAAGAAGGAATTAGTACATTGAAAGGACTAACCGCGGAGACTTCAAGATTTTCTCCACTTCTTCGCCGAGATCCTCTATCGGATCTTCTTCTTCTTCATCTTCTACGTATTGTTTGATCGCAGCAAGTCTGATGCTTTCAGCGGAGACTAGTGTACGGCATACTTTTGGTAGCGAGCTGTAGGAGACGATACTCTGGAAAGGAAATGGAATGTAAGGGACAGCCGTAATGAACAGCATAGG